AGCTTCTTTTGTTCAAGCCAGAAGTGGTGCTGCGGCTTCCACTTGAGCCACAGTGCCACTTCTGGCTTTTTCTGTTGATGTGGCATTGAGGAATTGAACCCAGGGTTTCATGTATACTAGGCAAGCACTCTGCCACTAAGTCATATTCCTAGTCTATCTTTCATTTTTGAGAGCTTAATTATATGATGTCTAGGGGGTTGACTTAGGGAAGTGACATTTAATTGGTTACTTTCACCTTCCTTCACTGGGACATTTATATCCTTCTCTAGGTTTGGGAAGTTTTCTGCTGTTATTATTATTATTTCTTTGAATGAGCTTTCTTCCAACAGAAGGAAGAATCAGTGAACTTGACGAAAGACACTAAGGCAACACTAAATTGAGTCATATGTTGAGTGTCAAAGTCTCAGGGTCTGTAGAGTCTTGGGAAGAGGGTGGATTAGGACCTAGGCCTTCTCCAACTTGTGTCTGATCCAATAGTGCCCAGGTGTCTGCTCGATATCATGGCCAGTCTATAACTTTGTGGGCTTTGGTGTTGGATCTCATATAATATGAAGGGTTTGTGCCCTGCTCTCCAGCAGGTGGAGTCTAACTACCTGTTCTTCTGTCTGCTGTTGGGGGAAGGTGGAGTTACAGCCAGTTTACTTGGTCTTAAGGCAATTCCAGTGGGTTTCATGGGGTTTTTTAAACCCAGAACTTCAGTTTATCTCTCTCTCTACGCAGAGGGCTTTGCTTGCTGTGCTGAGCTGTTTGGAGTTGGAGGAGGCCTGGGGAAGGGCATTCTTCTTTCCTTCCTGTGTTTTTCATTAAGTCTTTGTATTTTCTTATACTAAAAGCAGACATTATGGCCTCTGACTTAATTGATCTACTTGGGTTGTAAAGTTTGCCTGATAAATAGCCATTCAATTTGGTGTGCCTGTGGGTAGATGATCACAGAAGAACCTTAAAAAAATGTAATTGTTATTATAAAAGTGATACACAGGCTGGGAATATGGCTTAGTGGTAGATGTTTGCCTAGCATGCATGAAGCCCTAGGTTTGATTCCTCAGTACCACTTAAAGAGAAAAAGCTGGAAGTGGCACTCTGTTTCAAGTGATGGAGTGCTAGCCTTAAGCAGAAGCTCAAGGACAGTGCGTAAGCCCTGAGTTCAATCCCCAGGACTGACAAAAATAAATAAATAAATAAATGTGATATACAGAGTGGTTTCAGTTACATAAGTCAGGTAAAGAGTGCCATTGTGGGGTGGGTTGTCAGGTGGCCTCTTTGTGCTCAAGGCTAGCACTCTACCACTTGAACCACAGTGCCACTTCTGGCTTTTTCTGTTTATGTGGTACTGAGAAATCAAACCCAGGGCTTTATAGATGCTAGACAAACACTCTGCTACTAAGCCCCATTCCCAGTCCCTTCCCTTGCACTTTTTGTTGGTCATGAGGCTTGAACTCTGAGCCTGAGCATTGTCCCTCAACTCTTCAGCTCAAAGCTAGAGCTCTATCACTTGAGCCATAGCACTACTTCCAGTTTTCTGGTAGTTTATTGGAAATAAGAGTTTCATGGCTTTCCTGCCCAGGCTGGCTTTGAATTGCCATCCTCAGATCTCAAGCCTCCTGAGTAGCTAGGATTACAGGCATCTTTGAAGCTATCTTTCTCTGCCTAAACTTCACAATGAGTTCTGTACAGATACTGTGGAGGAGGTCCAATTTAAGGTGATGTGATGGACAGGGAAATACCAGGTCCAGTTGGAATGAGGAAGTGAGTCAAGATCAGGAAATGGGTCAGATGGAGCACAGAGAGGAAAAACAAGCAAACAAACAAGGGCTGAAACTGTTCTCAACCATGCAAATTTTAAACCACGTTGCGAGAAAGAGACAGCTAATCAGCCAATCAATAGGGTCTACAAAACGGGGAACCACCAATCAAACCAAGCTAGTTGAGGCTCTGAGATCAAATCCTAATATTTGTGCACATATGCGCGCGTGCGCGCGCACACACACACACACACACACACACAAGCCAGCCAAATACATAAGCTCACTCCTGACTCTATCTGCACACTGTTGGTTGCCCCTTTGGCTGGTTAGTTGCCCACTATGTCTCTCCTGACCAATATCCTAATATTAAGACCTTTGTTTTTCTATTCTCTTACTTTGGTAAATTCTCTTACCAGGCCATGAACTCAGCTCTAAGACAGAATCATTGCTCACTATCTGGCTAGGGATTGGATCTGACCTTACACCATACCAATGTCCAAGGTAGTCCAGTCTGTTACAAAAAATGGCATAATATGACCGGATGCTGATGGCTCATGCCTATAATCCTAGCTACTTAGGAGGCTGAGATCTGAGGATCACAGTTTGAAGCCTGCCAGGGCAGGAAAGTCTGTGAGACTCTTATCTCTAACAAACTACTCAGAAAAAGCTGAAAGTTGGGATGTGGCTCAAGTGGTACAGTGCTAGCTTTGAGCACAAAGGCTCAGGGACAGTGCCAAGGCCCAGAGTTCAAGCTCCAGGACAGCAAAAAAAAACAAAGGAATAATATTGACATATAACCTATATTCCTCCTCTTGTCTATTTTAGTTTTGTTTCCATGACTTAATTCTTTTTGATTGCCTGGTAGGCATGGAAGTATGTGTAAAGATATTTAGTTATTGGTGGCTTCTATTAAAAGGGAATCAGAGCCTCACCTATTCAAAACATGAACTAGACACACCTCTTCCCACTGGGGTACATATACCTAGCCTCTCCTATACTCTGTCAGGATCCTAAACTTTTCCTCAATGCTTACAAACCAAATACAACAAGCTAGTCTTATTAATAGGGAAAGACTTTATTTGAAAGAATTACTGCAAATCAGGGAAAGGTCCCAGTGCTTGTAAGCGGGGCGGCTCCCTGGCTGTGGGGAAGGAAAGGAAAGGGTGGCTGGCTCTTAGTAGATTAAACAATATTTCTTACCCCTGGGGTGGGTTTACTCTTAGGAGAGACTTCTGCTGTGGTTCAGCTGGGGTAGGTGAAAGTTCAGAGACTTTGGTTTAAAGCTGGGTGTGGTGATTCATACCTGCAATCCCAGCTCTGGGGAGGTTGAGACCAGAGATCTGAATTCAAGGCCACCTAGAATGGCATAGTAAGATCTGTCTCAAAAAAACAATTTTATTTTTCTTGGTTAACAAGCATTTTGTTCTGTTGGGTGAGAGGGACTGAGCAGCTCAGCCTCTCATTTACAAGACGGAGAATGGGAATGTGGAGAGTTTGAGAGGTAACAAGGGGTATTTCTTCTTCCTATAGAAGCTATAACCCTTTGACTGGGGCCAGTGGCTCATACCTGTAATCCTAGCTTCTTTGGAAGCTGAGATTTGAGGATCAAGGTTGGAAGGAAAGTCAGTGAGACTCTTACCCCCTTAATTACCAGAAGACCTGGAAGTGGCACTGTGGCTCAAAGTGGTAGAAAGCTAGCCTTGAGTAAAGAGCTCAGGGACAGCACTCAGGCCCTAAATTCAAGCCTCATGACCGAGCAGGAAAACAAAAAAGAAGTCATAACCCAGAAGGTATTTCTTCCCACTTGTCCTTTACGGGAACATGAAGTAGGTGATGTCTTAATCAGCTTTCTAGGAGTTGAATTGGACATTAAGTACACCTCAAGATATGGTTGTTTACTGGAAAGTCAGCAGAGCTCATCAACCTTTGCCTCCAGCAAGAGAACAGTTCAGGGAGACTTCACATCAAAGTAGTGAAAGTGATAGGTAAGTTTATTAGGAAAGAAAGATTGGCTGAGAAAGGAGACTCCATGTTATGATGCCACAGGAAGATGGAAGCTGAATTCCTCGCTAGCCATCTTCAGGGGTACAGACATTGGCTTCAGGTTACAGAGGGAGAATTGAGGCAGAGAATGAGAAAGGTGTGTCTACTGTGGCCTGGTAGACTCAGTCTTTATCTCTGCAAGGCATGCACTCTACCGCTGAGCTACCTTCCCAGCCCCTCAGTCTTTATCTCTGGATGAAATCTCTAGAAGTTCTCACTTTATCCTGTGTCTAGACCTCTTGAGGGTTTTTTATTTTAACTTTATTTTTTGCTGTTTCCATTAAGAAGGTGCTTTGCCTGGTGTACAGTTTGACATCCACTCCAGATGCTAACTCGTGCATCTTCTTTTTTCCTGGAGCCCAAATGCAGCAGCGAATAGCTCAGATCAAAGGACACAGAGCAAAGTTGGGGGGGCTTTTAGTTAATTAACAGGCAGGGCCCAGCAAACAAACACACACACACACACACACACATCCTAAAAAAACAAAAACATCTTTTGGGTTGCCTGCGTTAGAGGTGCAGATGGCAGGGGGGAAAAACACCTAACAGCCAATAGGAGGGAGAATGGGAGGGAGGGAGGGAGGGGATGGGGGTGGGGTGCGGGAGAGGCCTGGGGAGGTGGGGGAGAGGCCCTCGGGTGCTTCCAGTTGGCAGAGTTCTTTCTTGGGGTTAGGGCGCCCTGGGCACCGTGGCCTCAGTTCACCTCGTTTACTGATTTCCAGCAAGGAGCCATAAAACCCTGAAATGCACATTGGGTGTCGTCCAACACGGATGCCGAACCGAAATATGTGTATGAATATATAATACATATCTGTAAGAAGCGTGTATCGCCTTTCTTCGCCCGGCTGCCCGGGAAGGTCCGGGGTTGTCCTGGGCAAGCGCGGCTGGCCTTGGCCCTTGGGACTCGACAGTTAATGATTTGTCGCCGAAGGAGCCCAGCCCCGGATCGCGAGGGACGCGAAGGACGGAGAGCGGGCGAGGAGCCCGGAGCCGGCCGCGGCCGAGTCCCCG